GCGGGTGGGGTATGGGCTGAAGCTGACTACTAGGATAGGTAGGGACGATTTTGAAAAGCGATAGGTTGGGACTCATGCTTGGAAAAGTTTAGAGGCTTGAGATAAAATAAAACCTACCGACGAGGAGTTGGATTAAGTAATAATCGACTTGTTCTAACTTAAGTAAGGTCTTGAATTCGAGTTTTTGCGTACGCAGCAGCTTTCGTTGAGAGACTCACCCACCATTTACAGGTGCGCGACCTGAGTCGGATCTGAATTACTCGGGGCGAAGCCCCGGATACCGGGCGGGAAACAAAAAAAAATATATATAATAAATTTTATAATAAATTCTTCTCTCTATTTTATTAAATAAAAAAATAGAGTTACTAAAGATAAACAAAAAGGATATTGTATAAAATATGAGGTTTGTAATATTGGAAGCACTCTCAATATTATTTGGTTTAAAGCATATCAAATTATACAATATTAATTATTAAATGAAATTTTTAGTATTAAGAGTTCTCTCTTTTTCTATTTGATGGTTTCAATTCAAGAATATAAAACAGACCTTCTTCCATTTTATAATTTAAGAACATGTTTGATGAAACTTATAAATGCTTCAATTTTTTGATACTATTTATATTTTATAAATTAAAATTTTTCTTTTAAAAGTTTATATTTTTTTAACTTTAAAAAAATTTTAAAAAGTTTCAAACTTTTACTTTTTATAAATTTTTTTCTTACTCACTTCTTCTTCACTTTTTACTATTTCTAAAAGTAACTTCTAAATTTATTCTCCAATAAAAATTTAAACTTATAATTCATAAACAATACTAAAAAAATAAAAACTTTAAGAAACTTCATCAAACAGACTCTAAATTAGATGACAAAATAAACAACTCTCTTGCTATAATTGTCACCATCCCATATTTTTATTAAAATCACTTAAAAGTATTGTAATTATATTCATTTTGATTGATTTTATTAATTTATAAATTTATAATTAATTATATTATTTAAAAATATTAATTTATAAATTAATTTTAATTTATTTAATGATAAATTATATAAAAAATAATAGATAAATTATATAAAAATAAATATTTTTTTCAAATTTATTTTATTTAATTTTTAATTTTTAATCAATTAAATCACTTTTAAAGGTTATAAATAGTTAAATCTATTAAAACAATATGAAATTTTGTTTTAAAAGCAAGTTTTGCTAAACACTCCATAAAAATTAAATTAAATTAACTAAAACCTGATATTTCATTATATATGATCTATTTTAATGATAATAACATATATTTTTAGGTGTATTTTTAACTAATGCTTTTTTAAAAAGAT